TACCCCTCGGCGGCTCCCCGTAGGGGTGCTGAAACCAGCGCACCACCTGAGACATCCAGACAATCTGCTGTGTGTTTAGTAAATCAGACAATGAGAAGGTCTGGGTATGAGTAAGCCTGGGTATGAGTGAGTTTCAGCATGAGTAGGTCTGAGTATGAGGAGGTCTGAGTATGAGTAGGTCAGAGTATGAATAAGTTAATATGATCAGGTCTGAGTATGAGTAAGTCTGTGTATGAGTAAACATAGGTATGAGGAGGAGGAGGATGAGGAGGAGGAGGAGAAGACGAGGAAGGAGTAGGAGGCGTCCAAGCAATAACAAGAACCCCATCTTAGGATATGGGGAAGAACTGTTTGTTCGGGGTCCACGCTGGCTAGCGTGTTGAGAACTCGAGAGAAGTCACGATGCCAGGATACCTCTTTGCTGCTTTCTCCGCCGCCGCAGCCTTCGCGCTTCGCGGCCTCCTGTTCGACGATGATGACGATGACGAGGGGTCGTAGTGGAAGAAGAAGAAGAAGGATACATAGGATGAGGATGGCGAAGGCGATGGCGATGGCAATGGGCATGCCGATGGCGATAATAATGCTGCTGATGATGATCATGGTGATGATGATGCTGATGAAGATATAATGATGATGGTGGTGATGATGATGACGATGATGATGGTGCTGGTGATGAAGATGATGCTGATGCTATGGTGATGATAATGATGGTGGTGATGATGGTGGTAGTGGTGGTGATCATGGTGACGCTGTTGAGTTTAATGCTCAAGAGTAATTACTGTTGATCCCCCCAGCCCCGGTGTCCATTGCGTTTTTGAATTGAAGTGCTCCTCCCGTGGCTCGCACCATGTTTTTACAAAGGGGAAGTCTTGGGGCTCAGACTGTGTTTTGGCCCCCAGTTTACAAGAACAGCTGCTCCCGCCTGATACTCCCGCCTGAGAATCGCGCTCTAGTGCTGGATTCCTTTACACATTACAAAGGAATCGCGCTCTCTCGTCCCAACACTAAGGGATCATGCTCTTGCGTTGGACTTCCTTACGATTTACTCGGGGATCGCGCTATCGCCCGAGACGTCGTCGCGATAAATGCACGACTGATGCCTCAGCGACCCGCCAGCTCGACCCCGCCGTTTGGGCCCGCCCGCCCGACCCGCCCGTCAGGGTCCGCCAGCCCAAGCCGCCCGTCTGGTTGTACCGTTTATGGCCTGCTTTAACCCCCCTCCTGCTAATATCTGTCGTGCTTCATCCAGCAGTCTTGAAGACATTGTTGTTTTTGCTGGTACTGTTGTTGATGATGCTGATGGTGACGCTGATGCTGTGTTGTTGCTGCCGCTGTTGTTGATGATGAAGACTTCCCATTCCCAAATAATGTTAGCCAGTTTGGGCTTAAACCGTGTTTCTTAGCAGACTATGCGGTGTAATCTAGGTTGTGCAATCAATATGGTACAACATATGCGGTGCAGTCCATGTGGTACAGTCTTTGATGTGGCGCAAGGCAATGCACAGCACTATAACGCAATGCGACGCAATGCAAAACAGTGCACAGCAATGCCAAAGCAATGTAGTGTGATGCAAAGGACTGCAGAGCAAAGCAATGTGATAGCAATGTACTTGCAATTCCAAATAATGCTATTGCAATGCAAAAACAATGCACTGCAAACAAATGCAATGCGATGGCAATGCGATTGCAATGCGGTTGCAACGCGATTGCAATGATACGCAATGTCTATCAGTGCAAAGCAGTGCAAATCAATGCAAAGCAATTCAACGCAACGAATGCACATCAATGCGATAACAATGCAACGCGCTGCAAAGGGGTGCAAAGGACGGCAGAACAATGCGCAGCAATGCGATTGCAATGCACAGCACTGCGATTGCGATTTTAAGCAATGCTAAGCAATGCAACGCAATTCGAACCAATACAAAGCAATGCACACCAATGCAACGCAATGCAAATCAATGCGATGCAATGCGATTGCAGTGCGATAGCAATGCTATTGCAATGCAAAGCAATTCAAATCAATGCAACGCAATGCGAAACAATGCAAAGCACTGCAATGCATGTAGTGTGATGCAAAGCAATGCGCAGCAACGCAAAGCAATGCGGTTGCCATGAGTTTGCAACGCAAAGCGATTGCCGAGCAATACAGTACGATTGGAATGCAGTGCAGTGCAATAATATTGCAATGCAGCGGGGGGGGGCGGCTGCGACGGGGCGGCGGCGGCGGGCCAGAACGAGGCCACAAACGGGCCTTTCAAGTCGGTTGCAATCGATTGGATCGCAATCGATTGGATTGCAGCGCTTCGATTGCAACAGGGGGTGGTGCCACGGGGCGGCGGCGACGGGGCGGCGACGGCGACCACAAGGCGGCGGATGCGGGAAGGGAGCCCAGACGACGGGCGGCTACGAGGCGGCGACAGGGCGGCGACGGCGACCACACGGCGGCGAACCGGACAATGGAGCCTAGTCCTGTGGAGAAGAAGTAAGAACCCCGTAAGTGCAATCATTGTTTGTTGAATTATGATTGTTGATCCTCCTCTCCGGTGCACCTCGTGATTGTTCAATTGAAATGCCCCTCCCGGGGCTCGCATTTTGTTGTTTACAAGGAAAAGTCTTGAGCCTAAGATTTCGCTGTTGACCCCCAAACTGCAACAACAACGGCTCCCGCCTGAGACTTCTTCGCAACTGATTCTACATCGCGCTCTTGCGCGGGACTTTCTTGCAATTTATCCAGGAATCGCGCTCTCGCGTGACTTTGCTGAGACGTCGCGTCCCAACACTCAGGAATCATTCTCGCTCTGGACCTCCTGACGATTTGCTTGAGAATCTCGCTATCGCTTAAGCTTTCCTCGCGATTCATGCAGGACTCGCGCTTCAGCGACCCGTCCGCTCAACCTGGCCGTCTGGGCCCGCCCGCACGACCCGCCTGGTAGGGTCCGCCCGCCCGACCCGCCCGTCTGGTTCTGCCGCTTGTTTTGCTGCTCCTCACCCGCCTCCTGATAATCTCTCTTGTGATCCATCCTTTTTCCTCCACCTTGTCCCTTCCCTTCTCCTCCCCTCCCTTTCTCTGTTCTCCAACTACACGTGGCAGGTAAGGATGATATACTCTTTATACTCTTGAGGGGGTACGATCGAATACGAGCGGAGCGGATATCGAGTGTTTGGGATATGCATGTTGAATGGCACGCGAGCCGATACGAGGGAACAGTCTTAACATGATGATTGTCGGTGGTGACAATGTCGATGCTTGTCATGAAGGTGATTATGATGCTGATGATGAGGAAGATGAGGGTGCTGCTGCTGATAATGCTGATTATACTTAGGATGATGATGATGATGATGACGATGCTGCTGCTGATGATGATGCTTCTGATGGCGATGATGCTGATGATGATGCTGCTGATGCTGCTGCTGCTGATGATGATGATGCGCTGCTCCTGCTGCTCCTGCTGCTGCTGCTGCTGCGCGGCTGCTGCTGCTGCAGTTGGTGGTGTTTTGTTGGTGGTGATGTTGATGATGATGACGATGACGATGACGATGACGATGATAACGAGGATGATGAGGATAGTATAACGATGATGATGCTGACGATTATGCTGACGATCATGATGATGATGAGGATGAGGGTGATGATGATGATGATGATGATGATGATGGTAAGAATGATGACGATTGCGGTGATGGTGATGATGATGCTGATGATGATGTTGATGAGTATGATGATGATGATGATGCTGATGGTGATGATGATGACGATGATGATGATGATGATGATGTTTATGATGATGATGATGATGCTGCTGATGATGATGATGATGATGCTGATGATGAAGATGATGAGGATGATTATTATTATTATGCTGCTGATGATGCTGCTTGCGGATTGAATTGATGATGCTGGATGATGATGATGATGATGCTGATGATGATGATGATGATGATGATGACGATGATGATGATGATGATGATGATGATGATGATGATGATGATGATGATGATGATGATGATGATGATGATGATGATGATGATGATGATCGGAGGAGAGGGGGGGAGGAGGATATTGCAGAGGAAGAGGAGGATGATGAGGATGATGAGGAAAATGCTGATGAGGATGAGTGTAAAGAGGAGTGTCAGGAGGAGTGAGGGGAGGGTGTGGGATAATGTGTGAGGAGGGATGAGGAAAGCAGGGGTGGTCAGTGTTGCTCCCGTCCCAGATTTTAACTCACGGAGGGCCCGATAGGGTTCCTAGGAACCCTCGGGAGAGCGCAAAAGAGCCGAACACGTCAGAAACCCTCCCGAAACAATGACTGCCTCGAGTCGTGACGGAAGATTGGTCTTCATTTTCGGCTTCTGGAGGCCCTCATCGGACCCCACCATTGTAACAAGAACGAAGCAGGATGTAACACTGGTCCCAGGGAAGTGGTCGAGACTGGGCTCAGCGAGCCAGAACTTTCCATGACGGCATCCTCGCCTCGCTTCAATACGTTGGCAGGCGACGACGATGACGATGACGGCGATGACGATGACGGCGTCGACAACGACGACGTCTCGCGTCGGCAGCTGCGCCCCGAGGCCGTGAAGAGGCCCCCTCCTCTCCAGCCCCCCCCAAGCATAAAAACAAGAAGTTCGGGGCTGGCCGTCCTCCTCCTCCTCCTCCTCCTCCTCCTCCTCTTCCTCCCTCCTTGGCATAGGGCGATGCGCAGGGTCTTGGCTCCTCCACGTGCTGTGCTTCGCGGACCGCGCGCAGGTCAGTTGCGCAAGCTTTGAGGGCCGTCGCCTCCTGGGATGCAGTCGAGCGACATGCGATGGAATGTTTGTCAAGCCCATGGTGTCCTCTCTGTCCTGGACAGAAGCCCTGTACTAAGGGCCATCAGTTTCATGAGTGCCCCTACGTGCTGAACGTGGGCCAGGAAGAGGGCAGCCCCATGGAAGCTCTGACCGAGGACCTCCTGAAGGTCAGAGGGTGCCTCCAGGAGCGCTGCACCATGGGAGCGGCGGACAGCGACTACGACCGCTTTGACCTCGTCATCGGACTACCGATGGTGTCCCGTCAGGTGCCAGATGCGGAGGTGGCCTGCGAGACTTTCTGGTTGGGCGACTGGTCCACGACAGTCCATCCGAGGTCCACCATTGTCTACCACGACCGCTCGGGCTATGACACGTCCTGGCCTGTGCTCTGTCGCTGTGGATGGGCTTGCGTCCAGATCGGTGCGGATGACATCCCCATCCTGGCGGTCTTCGGAGCGCTGCCTGGGCGAAGGCAGACCGTCGGCAGGGCCGAGCGCTGGGCCTTTCTACAAGCACTGCGCCACATGGACTACGTCAGGTCCGTGGTCACTGACTTGGCTTCGCTGGCGGCGGAGATCGAAACATGGGACCCAGAGCTCGCCTCGCCGCGCGGGCAGTGCGCCGATGTCTGGAAGCAGATCTCCACCATGTCGGAGGGACGTGGACGTCCCCGTGGTTGCTGGTGCCCTGCACATCTGAGCGTCTTGGACCACCTTGGTCAGGACAGCTGGCATATGTGTGACTTAAATGGCAACGGCTGGGCCGATTTCTTCGCGAAGACTGGGGCCCAGTCTCATCGCTTTAGCCGCGCTTGTCGACCTGATCCGTGTGAAGATGAATGAGGGATGCCAAGTTGGAGGCCCAACTTCTTTCATGGATGATGGCGGCAGTTGGCTCGCTCGCGGACGACACGAAGGAGCTGGTCCCCAGGCTCTCGCGCCCACCGGCCCCTCCTGCGCCTGTACAGTCAAAAACCATAATAAGGACGCGCGACTTTGCTCAGGGTGCCCTTGCGTCCTTGCTCTTCCTTGCTCTTGCGTCCTTGAGGTTTTCGTCGTCCGCCGCCCCAAAAATCTCAACTTCGGCTTCCAAGGGTCTTGCGTGCTTACCGCGCGTCCTTATTAGGGTTTTTGATTGTACAGCTTGTGCAGAACCGGCACGGCATCGCGAGGCGCAGCGACACCTGGATCTGCACGCTCTGCACTGCCTCGGCGTCTCCAGGAGGAGGAGGAGGAGGAGG